TAAAGCGTGTATACAAATCACACTCATTTTAGGAAAGCAGATTTTGGTGTCTTCTCCATACATTTTTATTCAAATCACTCACAGAAATTCGTATTAATACACTGGTGCTGCAGGAATCACACTATATAGACAGAAGTGCAGCTTTGTAGCATTAAGTAATGAAGTAATAGAACTTTAATATGTTTCCCTAATAGAACGTTAATGTATTACATTTAATCTCTTTTTGAGCTACAGTATATTAATATATCTAGCATGAAGTGTATACAATGTACCTGCAAAAATATATACTATTTTTTTAATTTCATTAAAGTATTTTATTATTTGCCAACAGCAAATTCTTATATCCAGCTTGTATAAAATACTAATGCTACTTATTAGGACATTTTGATTTCTTTCTTTTCATTTATTCTTTAACATTAAAACAAGATCATTGCACCTCATTAAAACATTTGTGCTTTTTTTCTGTGACAGTATTTATTCTGAGGGCTAATATTGCTTGTCCCATAGTCACTGGGATTTATTTCTGTAATAAAATATTTTGTGATATTACATGAAACAAATTAGACGTTTGTGATATTTTAAAATAGGATATTGCTATATCAAAGGAAATTATAGTGTTCTTAAAAAGGATAAGTGGTTTAAATAACAGAGTTAATCAATGGGAAATTATTTGTTTTTTGCTGGGGAAGGTTTTAAGAGAACCTGTCATCGAAACACAGCAAAGGCATATATTTTGAAAGATTTTATAGTTTAGTGTTTGCTGACATATACTGACATTAACTATATTCTAGGAGCTACTTTTTAATAACAGCCTTTTATTTTATAGGGCACAAATGAATCCATTGAAATGTTCACCCAAAATGTGGATGTGGCTACTGAAAAACATTCTGGCTCTCTACAGCTATCTAAGATTCAAGTAACAAGGTACATTAATTTACCATAACAGAAGTCTAGGCAAATTATGGTGTACTCCTTCCATGACTGATTCACACTCATTTAGATTAAAAAACTGGTAAGGAATCCAGCTGTAAGGGAGTGACACCAATATGGCCTTACCCCAGTTGGGGTGTAAATAGACAGCAGGTGCTGGAACACAATAACACCCATAGGAAGCACAGTATCAGGGCTGCATAGACTTTGTTTTTAACTGCTTTATTAGGTCTTGTGAATGTATTCACTAAATTTGTCAACTGAGCGCTAAAGAGAATTTCTTATTTGTTATCAGTTTGAAGATATAAGCGCCCCCGCCATGAATTTCTTCTAGGACACAATACAATAGTATTTTAAGGGCACTTCAAACAGATACAGTATTTAGAGCAATACAACAAAAATTGGACTAAAGGATCAGAGAGTTAAATTGCATGTCTAACAACCAACTTAAATGGTGCTCATCAACATATTTTTAATACATAGCTCAAAAATAGCAATATTAGCAACACATTATATATATATATATTTATATACACACACACACACACACATACACACATATGCACACATATGCACACACATACACAGTGACCACATAAGTGGGTGTTCTTTGGTAAAAGGTCAGTAGCTTAAAACTGATATTTTAGTAGATACTGGAGCAGGGTTTCTCAAACAAAGTTCCTCCAGATGCTGCTAGGGGTTTCTTGAGCAATTTATGCCGCTCAGATAAGTTTCCAATGACACCATATAGATCTTTTTAGCTATCTGTAAGGGGGTAATTCTTCCCAATGTTCACAAGTGTAATGAGTATTCTTGCCACTGACCATCACAATATTGTATCATGGGTTGTAGGGGTTCCCTGAGACCTCAAAGTTATTTCAAGGGTTTCTCTGTGTTGAAAAGGTTGAGAAAGGCTGTACTTGAGTTAAAACACCCATTTTTTATTTTAAGTTTTGAGGACCTTATTATTAAGATCTCTGCACACCTTCTGTAGCCATTATGAGCGATTCCCCCTCTCTCTCTTTAAAATTTTGTTTTAAATTATGGTTAATTCAAAATGAGAATTGGAATGCCAAAACCTCCCAGGAAGACAGAAACAGGGTTGGAAATGATAGAATTATGACCAACCAAGTTCCATCTATAACTAAAATATCACTTTGGGTGGACTGACACTTTAAGTTCAAATATTCCTGTTTGGCATCTTGCAAAATTCTAAAACTATCACAGAGTCAGAGGTGGGATCATTTCAATTGTATTGCTATTCATATTTTATAGTGAGAGACCAATGAATGCCCGGCTCCAGAACTAATTACTTGTCAGCTTATATCTTTTAAGAACCCCAGGAAAATGCCATCTCCAGAAAATTTCCAAGTTTTGCCCAACTGCTACAACTAATAGAAATTCAATGATGGTGTCAAGCTCTCCTATCATATTTTGGGAGATACCAACTACTGTGTGCAAATCTCATCATGACATCTTCGTGGGGTATAATTTACAGGCAGGTAAAGCAAAACACTAGTTCTTACTTCAAACTGAGATCTCCTTTCTGGTTCCAGTATACCTTTGAAAAGTCACCCCTTTCAAGGTCTATGGATAATTATAATTTTAATATAAGGCTTTAACGCAGATATATAGATATAAAAGGAAAGTAAAAAAGGAGATGTTGCTTATAGCATCAAACTCTTCATTCACCAAAACAAAATGTATACACAAATAAGCCCTAATTAGCTAAGGTCCTGTTGACTAAGATCATGTGCTCCTATTACAATCATATTTAATCAACAAGAGCGATTTTGTTGGCCACTAAAAAACTATACTATAGAAACAGATTAAAGAGACTCTGTCAGTATTTTAAAATCAAAGGCTAGCCTGCAAAAGAAAGGGTGTAATGTATGACCCCTCTTTGTGTGCTGTGGTGCCTTTACCCTTTTGTAGGGGCTGGAGGAAGGAATCCAAGAGCACACTTGAAAGTGTGCTTGGTGCTAAAGACGGAGGAGATCAACGGTATGGGTGGAGGGAGGGGTAAGTATTTTCTTTGTAGGCATACATTTGCTTTTAAAATAGTGATGAAATCACTTTGAAGCAATAATGAAATTTGCCAACTGCCACACATTTTAGAGAAAAATGGTCTGGTCACCAACTAACGAACAGCCCTGGACTGATGTTCTTTTTTAGAAGTAGTTGGCTGTTTATATACTCACTAACAGTTTATTACACATCAGAAACATTTTGCAATCCAGAGCAGTCTATTTTTGAAACTGTAACAAGAAAGTACTGCCAAAATTTATACTTTTGCCAAGATTTATCTATTTCTGTGTTATGCATTTATTTAAACTCAAAGACATGGTGGAATTTTATTTTTCATCAGCATCCTTTTATTGTGACTTGAATTATAAAGTATTTTATAAGAGTGAATTGTATAAAGCTGGAAGAAGGGATGTAAGACATCCCAAAAGCTTGAATCTTTAAAAACGTTAAAGTGTTACTAAACCAATGACCCTGCATTCCCTATATCCAATTTTCACAGTACAGAGAACGTGTGATTATTTTATGAAATATAAACTGCTAATTACCTTTTCTTATCAGCAGTATAGTGACATCTATCAGTGCCCAGCCGAGCACTGGTTAATCTTGCAGAAGGAGTTTTCATTCGCCTCTAACTGCCCTAAGAAGCTGCATAACCCCTGACCCTCTGTTTGGACAGCGCCGATTGGCTCTGTGCCGAGCACCCTCCTGACCTCAAGATAAAATGTCTAGCAATACACACCAAACAGAGCATGTGCAGACTTGCACCTGCTGCTTTTAACTATGGCAGATGGATTGGAGACAGCAAAATAGGGGGAAAACAGAATCAAACAGCTTTTTTCTTTTTTTTTTTTTACACAATGCGGATAATTAACCCCTTAGGTTCCACAGTGAGTATAACAAGCATGCATTACTGCATATACAGACTGATTTTACTGTTGTGGGTTTAGTAACACTTTAAGTTAGCCAGTAAAAGGTATCACTTACACTCCAAACTTTCTGCAAGGATAAAACTGATATTACAGTTATAGAGAGATGCCGGTATGCAGAATCACCCACTGGCCTACTGTATATCACAAGGACCATGTCCTTGCTTCACACCGGCTATCTATATCCTATAGTTGTCCAGAAGAGACAAAGAAGGCCACAAGTGGCTTTTCCCAGTATCTGTATTACTAATACTATCACCCCTACCCCCTTTGGAAGAGTTATGCCCTCACTTAGCAGCTGCAAGAGCATAAACATACAATGGCACCATGACCAGCATTTAGTACAGTATACAGTGTGGAAGCATGCAGCAAGAACAAAGCAAATTCTCTGTAGTCACTTTACTGACATGTCCATTTAATATAAGCTGCTGGTGACTTAACTTGCATTCGCCTACAACTGAAATGCGCTTTTACAGTGGCGTGACTATTTAAAAATGCCTTAACATTATTTGTAATATGGCCTTTTCACATAAAGTTTGTCAGTATAATAAAAAAATAACATATAATTATAGTAAAAGCAGAAATGTAACCATATTTGTTGAATAGTTTGTACCATAAATTGCTTCTATACAAGTACAATTATAGTTTTTATCAAAACACAACTTCCAAAAACTTAAATACAAATAGTGAAACTTATTGCATGATTTCTACAAAGCTAGATCTTTTTTGGCACTATTCAAACCATTAACATGTACAGAATATAATGTTATATAATGTTTTCTACTGGGATACTCCATGTTTCATTGGAGCATAGCTTCGAAAAATACAGTGGCTTTTCTCAATAGTGGTTGAACAGAACCAAGTAGGATTGTATACTTCCATCAGGAACAACGTAATAAGGCAAAATAAGGTATTCTCTAGTATTCATGTGATTATACAAATTTCTCTACAATTGTATACACCTCTGGACAAATAATATGACATATATTATATACACATTCTGTATGTACATAAATTTAAAACTATTTACAGAGGTTTAAAGTGCCACTAATGTGCTAATCTTTCGGACAGTTTTCTGTACTTTGCAGACGTCCCTTAAGTTGGAGATGAATTATATCAACTGCAATGCAAGGGTTGCACTAATCCATCTTTGTAAACACGGAGAATGGCTTCACAAACAAACTTGTATTGACTCTAAAAAATAAATAAAAAAACATGATGAATACATTAGCAATCTATCAAATAATTAGCCTATGCAATTGTAATATTTAACTGTAAATTATTTTTCTAGCGATTCAGCAAGGCTTCTACATATACACACATATATTCCATCTTGCATACAGCCCTGTATCCATACTGCCCTGTCCACATACATTAATGTACTTAAGGTGCTCATATACTGCAAAAACTAGGATTACTAATAAAAATAAAAATTAAAAGTGAAAAGTTCAACTTGTTCAGCATATTCTGTGATAAGTTTCAACAGGAAAATCTTGTGAAGTCACCTGTAGAGGCATTCCTTACTGGAATGATCAGACCTCTAAATTATAGGAGATCAATCCTGAATAAAGAAATCCAAAAGGCTTTTGACTGTAGGATCTCTTCATGCTAGATTGACCTCCTAAGCACATTAAAGCGGTAGTAAACTCTAACCCTTTGAGGACCATAAGATTACGGAACGCCAAAAGAATCAAAGTATTTTAAGTTCTTAATCAGATGATGACAGGCAATTAAAAACATGGGACAAATACGTCCCTTGGTCCTCAAAGGGTTAAACAAAAAAGTTTCCCCTGCAAGGCAAAGGCATAATGTGCACATTATGAAAGACTTACCTTAAAACAAAGCCCTCCAGTGGCATACTGCTACAGAAGCTTCCACCTTCAGTCAGTCTTCTTTTTTCGGGTTCACGGGCTGCGGCCGCTTGAATGGCTGAGCCGCGATGATGTCTCGGCCACAGCACACAGCTCCGAAGGAACGGCACGGGTATATACCGTTTCTTCACATACGCCGGTGACGTCACCAGCTTCTGCTCGATAGAATATCTCCTAAACAGTGCACGTTTAGGAGATATTCATTTTACATACAGGTCAGCTTTATAATAAGCTGAACTGTAGGTAAAAATGAATAAGGAGTCTACTACCACTTTAAGCACATTAATTTATATGAATTTTGGTGATGAATTGGGGGATACTGTATGAATTTTTGCATTTAAAGAGACAGTATATTGTTTTCACTTCCCATTTTCCCAGCTTGGAAGTTTCACCTATTTGATGAATTGATCACAAATGTATTGATTTATCAACTTCAGCGCCAGAGGATTTTACCCTGTTCATAACCAGGTCATTTTTTGTGATTTGGCACTGTGCTACTTTAACTGGTAATTGCGCAGTCATGCAACACTGTACCCAAATTAAAGTTATATAAAAAAAACATTTCCAACAAATTGATCTTTCTTTTGGTGGTATTTTGATCACCACTAGGTTTTTTATTTTCTATTATATAAACAAAAAAAGACAGACATCTTTGAAAAAAAAGCTATTTTTTTTTACTTTCTGCTATAAAACATCCAATAAAAAAAAAGTGAAAATCTAATTTCTTAATTTTTCTTGAAATTCAGTCCAAACTGTATTCTGCTACATGCCTTTAGTAAAACAAAAATCCCAATAAGTGTATATTAATTGGTTTTTGTGAAAGGTATAACATCTACAAACTGTGGGATACATGTTGGATTTTTTTTTCAAATTTTTTTAATACTAGTGATGGCAGTGATCAGCGACTTATAGTGGGACTGTGATAGTGCGGAGGGCAATCTGACACTAACTGAAACTGGGTGGGAACTGACTAAATGACACGGACATCTCCAGTGACACTAATACAGTGATCAGCGCTAATAACATACACTGTCACTGTACTAATATCACTGGCCAGGAAGGGGTTAACATTCAGGGGCAATCAAAGGGTTAACTGTGTGCCTAACAAGGTGTGATATGTTTATGGTGTGGCATTTTCACTAAGCAATGTGCTGGTTTATACTCCCTACAGGGAAAAAAAAACTGCACATTTACTAACACGGAGCTCTCTCCTGTCATTCGGTCTGCCGATCAACAGGTCTCGGCCATAAATCATTGGCCAGGACCGCTGATCGGCATGTACGGCAGCAAATAGCAACATAGCCAGGGCGGTATGCGTGTGTGCCCCCTACCCAAAAGGGCCAGATTACCTGCATGTATGCAATCTGGCGCAGGAGAGCTACCGGTCTGCAGTATTTTTGCTGTGGCCCGGCCGGCAACTGGTTATTGATGTATTTTTGATATTTATGCACCTTATGATTTAAAGAGACAGCGCACTCACTGACTATTTTCCAGGTATTAAGTATTCCAATATTGAGTTGCAACCTTTTCTTTTTTGATCAGATAAGCACAGATAGCAATGTTTGCTATTTTGATATATTACAATTACTGGATGAACCCTAAAAGATATTATACTGGAATGTCTGAGTAAGTTATCTGATGATCTTAAAGGATAAGTTCACCTTTAGAAAATGTTCCACCTGTATTTTTCTTCCCCACAGCCACTGTCACATTCATAATTGGTATGGCTGTGCGCGGCTCCACCTGCACAGCCACATCATACATTCACAGAGATCTGTAAATTAATAAATTACAAGTCTCATCTGCCACCGAGGCAGATGGCTTGTAGCTCTCAATAGACTAGCGCACTTGTATTCCATTGAAATCTCCTCCAGCTTTCGAACTAAAAGCCCTACACAGGTACGGGCAGAAAGCTCCTGGACATGTCTGCAGGAGCGTGACATTGCACCCATGATCCACTGATTGCAGATGCAATTCTTTGCAGGCTCTTGTGGGAAAAATAATAAATGCACATTTTTTTTCCAGCAAAAATATTTGTATTCATTAATTTTACCTTAAAGGTGAACTTTAATGCATGCATCCTTGTGACTTATTTGAATGCTGCGTTGCTTGGACATGATTATATATTCTGTCACATTCTTCGTGAATGTGAATATTTTGAAAAAATAAAGAACATATATATAAAAAAAAACAGCAGCTACTTCATATTATTATATTTTGTGTATACGGTATTCCATATGCAGTTTAATTTTTTTGGATAAAAAAAATTATTAATAATAATCAATGCAGAGGGAAGGAATAATTAATAGCTCCACGCCTATTACACCAATCAGGTGCTTTTTTAATAGTGCATAATCTTGTGAATAATTATGAGCTTCAGAAGAAGTATTGGTTGGCCATTTGTTGACTGAAAGTGGGGTAAATTTGTGTATTCTCATTTCAAAAATGTCAAGGAAATGGTAAGTATTAGTTTGAAAAACTTAATGAAATATGCACAGTAAATGCTGGTGCATTTTGATAGTCTATGTTTTATAAAAATTTAAAAAGAAATCCAAGGAGCAAAAGAAGCTATAAGCATTAGTAGTACATAAATTGGTATTTTCATGTGAGAGAAGGAGAAGCGGCTTCTAGCTGCTTCATTGAAAGACATACAGGAGATCGCTTCTTGTCACCGCTGCATAGATCATTCCTGATCGTTCTGTTTCCTTCCCCCCCACGCTGTGTGCTCCTTAGTCCCAGTCTCCTATTGGTGTGGATAGGGGGAGGGGCTGGGCACTAAGGAGCACACAGTGGGGGGGGGGGAAGAGAAATGTAATGATCAGGTATGATCTGTGCAGCGGTGACAAGCAGCGATCTCCTGTATGTGTTTCAATGTAACAGCTGGAAGCCGCTCTCCTCCTCTCCCTCCCTCCCGTGGCTTCCAGCTGCTTTTTTGAAGAAGGAGGGAGGAGAAGGAGAGGTTGGATCTGTTCTGCCTTCCCCTGTGCCCGCCAACAATCCAGTCCGTGCAGCTTCATAGGATATATGGGCGGGAAATTGAACACAGAACAGCAGACAGCTCTGATGCTTCTGAATGAGCATGGGAGTCTGACCGACCTACCTTCCTTCCACCCCTCCCTTCCTTTCCTTCATTCTGCATAAAATATTTAACAGTGCCATTTCATGAGATAATTTATGAGGGAGTGCTTAGGGGCTGAATTAGGGATGGGGTAGGTTAGGGGTTGGGTGGAGCAACTGGTGGCGAGTAACTCTTAAGTCCTGGCTAGTAGCTCATTTTGAGCCCTGATATATTCTATTTATGTATGTCAAGTGTAAACTTTTTTTTTTCTCACTTTGGTTAAAGTGGGGAAGGGTTAGAACCTCTGTCAACGTTTTACTATTGTGTTTCCCCTCACTATTACTCTGTGACTATTGTTTCCAGTACAGAAAACAGAGATGATAAAATTTGTCAGAGGGAAAAAGAGATGAAGCGAAATGGGTGCATGTGTTCTAGTGACAACAGATTTAGGGAGGTTATCCAATATCTTTGGAGACATTGCCTCCTTCCTGATGTGGCTTTTGGACAGAAGTGAAATCTCCCCAAATGGAAAACACAGCAAAAAGAAACATGACGGGTGTCCTAGTTATTTCCTTATTTATCCGAAATAAAAAAGAACGTTTTAGCTATACACACACATTATCAGCTTTGCAATTGAAGCATGTACAATGTGCAGAATATGGGTGATGTTTTCTTCAAAAGGGCAATACACTGTACATATTTTTTATATACATTGTATATACAGTATATTCTTTATCTTTGTAATAACTCAATACAGTTTGTAAACAGCTGTTTTTATATATTACAATGAAGGAATCATCTGTATATCAGATGAATACAAAGTTCTTACTAACCGATGTCTGAACCATCATAGGCCGCTGGTCTCTCATCTGCCTCACAATATCCAAAGGATACACGGGTTGGTTTTGTTCAATCAGACACATTGCTGTTTCCATGGTAATCAGAACACCAGTACGTCCTATACCAGCACTGTAAAAAGAAATGCAGTATAACTTTCCTAAGGTGCATACATCTTTAATCAAAGCTTTCGTTTTCTTATACATGGCAGCAGAGCCTCAGGGCTGCACCAACAGCTGTGAAAAGAAACTCAGACATTTTGTTCTCACTGAGAATTTCCAAAAGAATAATACCAAAATACTCAAGTGTTCAAGACATATGAAAAGAATGTGAACTTTAATACTGTGGATTGCAAGTTAGAGCTGGTTTGTTTTGAACCAGTAGATTAACCAATTCAGGACTGGTGGTCATATACTCATTATGGATTGACCAATATTACATTGCAGCCTCAGTTGGTCTCATAATGCAAACAACCTTGTGACTAGCTCTAACAAGACGGCAAGAGTGAATTTTGTACATTTTGCAAAGTTACACTGAATAATCGCTGCAAATTGGCAGCTGAATTCCCTGTATTACTGACTTCTAGTTTTAAACTGGGAATTCAGCTGTCAAGCTGACGGTGAGACATGGGGGGGCACAGGATCATGAATAGCAGCAAAAAAGTTTATAAATGTCACTGAGGGTTCAGTCAAGTCCCCATAGATGTTTCTATGAACTACAAGGTCTTTAGAATAATCCTTTATACATAGATAAGTGGGAAAAAAAACAAACCGTATTCTCATAAAAAAAACAAACCTTATATTAAAGAATAGTTTCATACAAAACTACAAATGTCATTTTTTTGGTAGGATTTGGTCAGTAACAGCTCACACATAATGGTTAGTGTTTAGTCCTGTCTCTTTGATGAAGCTGATCAAGACCTTGAGAACAAGACAGGTACCCAATTTTCATGAACTACTAATTGCACAAAAATCTTTGTTGCCGCATTGCCACTGATTCCACTCTTACTAACTGTCTGTGCTTCCTACATTAATAATTGTTTAACCCCTGAGCTGAACTTGAACTAAGTACTTTTGCTGCTGTATGTTTTGATATGGTGCGGATTGAACTCGCTTCTAAAGGATAGTAATATAAATGTGAGATAAATTAGGTCAGCACTAGGAGATATAAAGCTGGTCATACATGTGAATTTCAGCCGGTTCCTAGTGAACCTGCTATAATCTGCTCAATGGGTGGTCATTCCAACCTGCTCTGTTCGACAGCTCTCAGAATATAAATAGCCAAGCAGGGTTATTCATCCATCTGCACTGCTGTGCTAGGACAGAGAAACCTGTTAGATTTTATTTGCTCAGCCCCCAGGCTGAACAAGAGATTTATGACAGTATACAGTTGCAAGAAAAAGTATGTGAACCCCTTGGGATTACATGGAGTTTTGCATGAATTGGGCATAAAATGTGCTCTGAACGTCATCTAAGTCACAACAATAAAAGAACACAGTCTGCTGAACATAATACTACACAAACATTAGATGTTGCCACGGTTTAATTGCACATAACATGTAAACATTCACAGAGCAGGGAGGAAAAGGTATGTGAGGCCCTAGTTTAATGACTTCTCCCAGAGCTAATTGGAGCCAGGAGTGAGCCAACCTTGACTCCAATCAGTGTGATGATATTGGATGTGTTGCTGACAGCTGTCCTGCCCTTAAAAAACCCACACCTGTTTTGGGTTTACTGGTTTCAAGAAGCACTGTCTGATGTGAACCATGCCTCGCAGAAAAGAGCTCTCAGAAGACCTACGATCAAGAATTGTTGACCTGCATGAAGCTGGAAAGGGTTACAAAAGTATCTCCAAAAGCCTTGATGTTCATGTGTCCATGGTAAGACAGACTGTCTACAAATGGAGAAAGTTTAGCACTGTTGCTACTCTCCCTAGGCATGGTCGTCCTGTAAAAATGACTGCAAGAGCACAGCGCAGAATGCTGCATGAGGTAAAGAAGAATCCCAGAGTGTCAGCTAAAGACCTACAGAAATCTCTGGCACATGCTAACATTTTTGTTGACACATCTACAATAAGGAAAACATTAAACAAGAATGGAGTACATGGGAGGACACCACGGAGGAAGCCATTGCTGTCCAAAAAGAATATTGCAGCACGTTTGAAGTTTGCAAAAGAGCACCTGGATGTTCCACAGCACTACTGGCAAAATATACTGTGGACAGATGAAACCAAGATTGAGTTGTTTGGGAAGAACACACAACACTATGTGTGGAGAAAAAAAGGCACAGCACACAGACATTAAAACCTGATCCCCACTGTAAAACATGGCGGAGGGAGCATCATGGTTTGGGGCTGCTTTGCTGCCTCAAGGCCTGGATGGATTGTTTTAATTGATGGGAAAATGAATTCCAGAGTTTATCAAGACATTTTGCAGGAAAACGTACGACCATCTGTCCTCCAACTGAAGCTCCGCAGAGGATGGGTGATGCAACAGGACAATGACCCAAAGCATACAAGTAATTCAACAAAACAATGGCTGCAACAGCACAGAATACGCCTTCTGGAGTGGCCCAGTCAGAGTCCTGACCTCAACCCGATTGAAATGCTGTGGCATGACCTTAAGAGAACGATTCACACCAGACACCCCAAGAATATTGCTACACTGAAAGAGTTTTGTGAAGAGGAGTGGTCCAAAATTACTCCAGATCGTTGCGTAGGTCTGATCTGCAACTACAGGAAACGTTTGGTTGAGGTTATTGCTACCAAAGGAGGGTCAACCAGTTATTAAGTCCAAAGGTTCACATACTTTTTCCTCCCTGCACTGTGAATGTTTACATGTTATGTGCAATTAAACCATGGCAACATCTGTTTGTGTAGTATTATGTTCAGCAGACTGTGTTCTTCTATTGTTGTAATTTAGATGACGTTCAGAGCACATTTTATGCTCTAAGAGTCACTTTTGAGGGTCAGGGACTTGCAAAATCAGATTGGACAATCTTTAAATTATCCAAACTGCGCATGTTTAAACCCTTTTATTTTTACTCCTGCCTAGGTCTGTTTTACGATACATTTTCTGTAAATATGTCTTGCATGGTTTTTCTTTTTAGTAAACAATATTTAAAAATCATTAAGCTGAATCTTTGAATATTCTAACCAAAACTTAACAACTCTGTCTTAAAGAGCATGTACCTAGCTATTTGAGACCTAGCAGGAAGGAAAAAAAAACCATAACATTTTGAATGCACAATACGGAGCATGTGATGTAAAAACGGAAACTACATGAAAAGGTACAAGGTATTTGCTAAAAAGGTCACTTTGACCACCACAGCTTTCTCCATTATTCTAGAACAGGGGTCTCCAAACTTTCTGAACAAAGGGCCAGTTTTCTGGTCTGACATTAAGGGGGCCAGACTCTGACCAGTGGGAGTGCAAAATGCAGCAGAAATAGTGCCCAATCATTGGTGTCAGTAGAAGGAATAGCGCCTTATTATTGGTATCAGTGAGAGGAACATTGGTGTCAGTGGAAGGAATGGTTCCCCAACACTGGTACCAAGGAAAGAAAAATTTCCCCAATACTGATGTCAGTGGAAGGACCAGGCCCCAACATTGGTGTCAGTGGCAGGAATAGTGCACCATTGATGGTATAAGTGGGAGGAAAAGTGCCCCGTCTTTAGTGTTAGTGGGAGTAAATAGTGCTCTATATTTTATATCAGTGGATGGAATTATGATCCATTGTGGATGTCAGTGGTAGGAATAGGACCCCATTGATGGTACCAGCGGGAGGAAAAGTGCACCATCTTTAGTGTTATTGGAAGCAATAGTGTTCTGTAGTTTATATCAGTGGGAGAAATCATGTCCCAATGTTGGTGTTAGTGGGAGGAATATTGCCCCAAAGGCCAGATAAAGACAATCAAGGGGCCGCATCTGGCCCCTGGGCCGAAGTTTGGAGACCACTGTTCTAGGAGGAGACAGAAATGCCAGATCACTGAATGATAATTAGCTTTAAGGAGTCACAGGCATTTTGAGGAGCATCCCAAGATAAGGCAAATGGAAGTCAAAGGAGAACGTAGCATACTATAGTATTTTTGAAAGAACAGAAACTTAGAGCTTTACATTTAGCCTATGAAAAGACCTGAAACAGAAACAAGATTACCACAGGAAGATATTTAGGTTCAGTAAAGGTATCTTCTGACAATATACCCAGTGCATTGTAATAGCCTGCTAACTTTATTTGATAAACAATCTAGAGATTAAATAGCTAGAACAAATGATTGTGCTTCAAGGGAACAACCATGCCCAGTGTGTGAGGCAGATCAGATTAGGTTTGAAGTTAAAATATTTCACATATGCTTGTCAGTGGCATTAGAGAGCCTGGCCCAACAGAAGAAAATGATTACAATAGTCCTCAAAGCAACCTGGAGGAAAGATTGTGGGAGTAGAATATCTACCTAGGGTGCACAAGTCTACAAATATCATCACGGTTTTCATGACTTGTGACAAATCCCACTTGGGATTTTGTAGATAGAATAGGCCTAAGCTGAACTCACATGCCAATATTTAGGAAATTGTCAGATTTCAAAATTAAATCTTTATATATAACATGTTATATATACATCATTTTGACCAGTTAGTTAGTGTTTTCTGTGATGGGTAGCATGCTACTCACAGCTGTGAAAGAATCGTTATCAATCATGCCTTGAAGATTCAGAATACAACTTTGGACTAAGTACCGTATTTGCCGGCGTATAAGACGACTGGGCGTATAAGACGACCCCCTACTTTTCCTGCTAAAATGTAGTGTTTGGGCTATACTCGCCGTATAAGACTACCCCTCTTCCAATGCACACCAGTGGGAGGAATAGTGCCCCATCATTGATGTCAGTGGGAGGAATAGTGCCCCATCATTGGTGTCAGTGGGAGGAATAGTGCCCCATCATTGGTATCAGTGGCAGGAATGGTGCCCCATCATTGGTATCAGTGGCAGGATGGTGCCCCATCATTGGTATCAGGCAGGAATAGTGCCCCATCATTGGTATCAGTGGCAGGAATAGTGCCCCATCATTGGTGTCAGTGGGAGGAATGGTGTCCCATCATTGGTGTCAGTGAGGGGGAATAGTGCCCCATCGTCAGTG